ATGTACAAATGCGCTTTACACAATTGATGTCTGTATGGATTGTGATAAGAGTTGTATGAGCCCCTAATAAAATGATTAAAAAAAAAAAAGCCTGTCACAAAAACTTTCAAAAAAAAAAAAGAAAACCAAACCAAAACAAACCCACCGCTGGGAGTCAATTTTGACTCCCAGTGACCAGACATTCCCAAGACTGTAAGTCCTTACAGGAGCAGACAGTCTCATCTTTCTCCCTCACGGCAGCTGGTGAGTTTGAACCACCAACCTGGAGGTTAGCAATCCAATCCTTCCTGGATAGCGCCACAGGGTCTCCTCCTGAATTTAGACATCTGGCCTCCTAAACTCTGAGAAAATATGTTCCTTCTGTTCTGTTCCCTTCTTGTCTTGCTGTTGTCGCAGCTCAGATGACTCACGATACCACCATAGCCGGGAGCACAAACCGTCTGTAAGGTCACCTCTGGCTGCCCGCAGTCCAACCTCCTTGGATGGAGAAGGAAGCCCAGTGAGAGCGCAGGACCTATCTCCTGAAAAATCCATCTCCAAGCTAGTTCCTGCAGCTCCAGGCCTCTCACCGCCCAGTCTGACTCTTCTTTCCCCTGCTTCTGACCTCTGTGCCCTTGGGCCTAGTGATGACTGCAGCCCTTCACTGCAGCACTGCTCACAGTGGCCAACAGGTGGAAATGGACTGAATGTCCACCAGCAGATGAGCGGGGACACAGGATGGGGTGTATGCCATCAAGGGGGTATCGTTCAGTCATTCAAAGAGATTGATGGACCCCTGCGTGCTCAAACTTGGATGAGCCTCGAAAACATGTTCATGTTGGTAGTAGAGGCAAATTCACAAACACTCCTATATGTATAAGAAAGAGCTTTATATAAAAGACCAAAGAGCAATTGTATATTAAGAAAGCATCCCAGCCCAGTCCAGATCAAGTCCAAAAGTCTGATATTAGTCCATATGTCCGATACCAATCTATAAATTCCTCTTCAGACTCACACAACACATGCAATGACATTAAATGCAGGAAGATCACAAGCCAGTAGGTGGAAAGTC